AAAGTAGCTACTATAATAGAACTGATTCTCCTTACTTAACACCTTCAGATTTTATAACTAAAGCTCCTATAGTAGTAATTGACTTATCATATCAAAATGAAATGGTGAAGTCAGGACCTATTGATGTTAGGATTTCAATTGAACTTAGTAAGCCCGGTAGTGAAAATGCTCAAGTATATTGCGTGTTGATACATGATCGTTTAGTTGAATATAACCCTTTAAATGGTTTAGTTCAGTGGATCGTCTAACAATCATGAGTGAAGACATTGTAGCAATTGATGTTCAAGGATTTCTTGGAAATAATAATAAATTCATTCTAAAAGAAATTGGAATCGTATTCAAAAATGAAACAAGAAAAACAGCTTCTTGGTTAAAAAAAAACCTTATAAAATTTATTGGAATGATGGATCATACTTTTTCAAAGAAACACAATTGTATTTAAGAGAAATAAGCAGAAATAAAGAAATAATTTGTAAGGAATATTAAAAACGATTATTTCTACAAAAATTTTTAAAAATGGATAATGTGGTTTACATTGATGAAATTGGATGTCCCTCTCTAAAAATAATATCTGGAAATCACTTTCCATATTGCTCATTACATGCTTGAGATGGTGTTTGCGCTCTCAACAATGCACAAAAATATTAAACTTTTACAAAAACGAAAAGTCTTAATAATTTCCCACATTCATTCACATTTTGAGTGTCGAGAAATAAAGTTTAACACACAGTCAAGGAAAATGTTCATGGATATTAACATTTAATTTTATGTAAATTTTCTAATGATAATATAGAAACATGTGCTTGTTTTCATTTTGTAAATCAACAATATAGAGTTGGAAAAATAATTTCATCATATAATAAAATTCTAAAACAAAAATAAAAACCAAAAAAGAAATGTTCTATTACTTCGAGGGTGGGTCTATCAACAGCTGTTGCATTTTAGGAAAGAGTTTTCTATCTAGGTATAATACAATGTGTAATATATAGCAAACTTTAGTTTAAGATAAACATTCAAACTATTACGTTCATTTTTTTTTTAATTTGAAGCTTAATTCATATTCTAGTTCAATTACGATACACTTTATTTATTTAAACTGAAAACTGATTTTGCTAATTCCTAGGGCTTCTCTTAATATACGTCCTCTTCCATTGAGAAGTCCGAGGTTTCACCAGCATAAAGAGAATTTAAAGCTCGACTTGTAAAAAATACAATCCGTTTTAATTTCTTATTATAAAAGAAATAATTAAATGACCACACGCATCCGGGTTCCCCAAAAGGGTCAGAACTTAGATCTGGATTATAGCTATATATGTCACATTCTGATAAGTTCACTTCATCGTCAACACCAGACCATAATGGTTGGCGAATAATTTGATATTGATCTCCTGCAAGCGCAGATAGATTTGAATGTATTGAGTTCATAACCCACTGCAATGATGGTTCCTTGATGAATTCATGCGACTTAGCCTCTGAAAAGTCGTAATCGGGCTCAAAAGAAGCGTTTAAAGTTGCAATTAAGTAAAACAATGTTTTTCTGGATATGGTATCACAAAGAGTTATTCCTTCATCTCCAGACTGGCTATTGTTTCGACGTAAGTTTGGTGAAAAGTCAACCAGTGTTTGTGGTGGTGACAATGCCTGAAGATCATGTCCATGCGTCTCAGCAGTAAATCTTTTATATAAAACCTTCTCAGCTGCTACCATTTTGCAGGAGTAACTTTCAATGCATCCAAATATTGTGATACCGCTAGTTTGTATAGAAAGTGCATTGTTGATTGCCTCAAAACGAGAACTCTCCAGTAATTTCATGATTTATTACGTTTTAATTTATGTAAAATATTTGAATAGAGTGTCAAGAGAAGAAATCCGGTTCCGTTTTCTATTTCTGTTTTATATTTTAAAACCTGTGATAAGCGTATAATTCTGTGTATTTAAATATTTTATATACATGTTTTGTTTTTTATTTTTTCTGTGCATGTAGTTTTTAATAAAAAAAATCCTCTGCATGTAACCGTTAATAATAAATTTGTTCTTGATTGCTCTGTTTTCAAAAATTTGTTTGGAGCAAATAGACTAATATCAGTCATTCTTGAATTCCTGTGTCAAAAAAGCCAGTTATATCCAGGTTTTAATTAATTTCATTACAAACTTGTATCTTCTACGTAATTTTAAATAGACTAATGAAAATAGAAAATGATTTTCTCAAAAATTGAAGACTTTTTAAAGGAGTATGGAAGTGAGATCTTCAAGGAACACGTAACGAAATTGAAATCATATCACACATTTTTTAAATGTGTAGAAACCACCCCGGTTATTCATTCCAAGTATGGAGAGCACCTATCATCCTGTGCATGGGCATATGATGATTGCAAAGTTGTACCGGACACTTGCAGATGTATGCATGTTGAAAAGAAGGAAGAAGATGCCTTAAAATTGATGGAACAATATATTAATTTATTAAAAAGACTCGATGGAAACTAATGTAACTCAAATATGACTATGAATAAAAAAAAATTATTTGTCTATTATTTGTCCTCAATTTTTTTTTGTGTGTATATTTCTAATAGGAGCCTTACTACTTTCTAGTCTCTATAAACGTGTGAAAAAAATTCAGGGGAATTAAAACTAGTTTAAGTTGCATTTGACTAAATAACCTGTCTAACTTGTGTATATTCTAATAGAACCCACCCTCTATAGAATTGAACCATTTAAGACACGCTGGTTTCACACTCCCACCCCCATCTAAAGCTCACACTTGGGGGAGGATCTCGAACTTACGCTTGTTTCACACTCACTTTCCCACCTAATGCTCACACTTGGGGGAGGATCGAGAACACCTCGAACACACGCTTGTTTCACACTTCATCCCCCATCTAATGCGGTCTAATATCCCTCAAACCAACACCTGCTGACCTCAAGACTGAAGACAGGTTACATGAACGAATATCACCCTAATTGAATCAACACCTTGACCACAAGACTGAAGACAGGTTACATGAACGAATATCACCCTAATTGAATCAACACCTTTTTAATCAACAAAACGGTTACGCATAATAATACAACTCCCACCCCTCCCTCTCCCCACCAAAGAACCCTTGAAAATTCCTATACGTGACAAAACACCCCTCACACACCCTTAAAATGGGTGCGGATCAACCGTCAAATTCCTAGGCATGACAAAACACCCCTTACACACTTCTATGCACCCTTGAAATGGGTGAGGATCAACCGTCAAATTCCTACGCATGACAAAACACCCCTCACACACTTCTATGCACCCTTGAAATGGGTGAGGACCAACCACAAATTCCTACGCATGACAAAACACCCTATTTGGGTGAGGATCACTCTAAACAACCACAAATTCCTACGCATGACAAAACACCCCCTCCACACACACACCTTCGGGGTGAGAAAAAGACAAGACAAAACAAGACATGACCAAAGAACCCACCACCACTTTCACCATTTCTTTGGGGTGATCCTCATACTCACCCTCATTTTCCCACACTTTGATTACCTATTAATGCTAATTAAGTCTTCTAAACACCTGTGTGATCACCGTGTGACTAATTAGGGTCACACTCTTCCCTATTTTCCAACACTTTTATTACCTTTCTATGCTAATTAGGTCACTGGAACACCTGTGTGCAGCCATGCGTGACTAATTAGGGTCACCCCCCACCCCTATTTTTGAGTGATTTATTACTTCCTGTGCCAGAACCCGTATTATTATACTACTAGTACTATCCACTGAAAGTATAAAAGATGAAATAAAAAAAATTGAATTAGAATGAAATGTGAGTGATAAAATATAACAAATACAAAAGACATACAGACAAAGGCTGTCTTTTGGGCTTTTCCGGGTGTTCCCATCCCTGTAGGTGTTAACGCGTGCTAGCCGGCGAAGTGAGAAATCCAAACAAGAAAAAAACAGGCAGACCCTTACAAGTTCCACGACATAGCTCTCTATTACCCAATACAATAGAGGCATTGATTGTTGGTCCCTCAAACTGTGGGGAAACAAATGTTATGCTTAGTCTTATTGAAAGTCCAAACGAATTGAAATTTGAGAATATATATGTATTCTCCAAGAGTTTATATCAACCAAAGTATGAATATTTAGAGAAACTAATTAAACCAATAAAGGGAATGGGGTATTATACATTTACACAAAATGACGAAGTTTTACCACCCAATAAGGCTAAAGAAAACTCTATAATGATTTTTGATGATGTTGCTTGTGAAAAGCAAAACAACATTCGTTCATATTTCTGTATGGGACGTCATAAAAATATAGATTCTTTTTACTTATGTCAAACATATACTCACATCCCAAAACATTTAATACGTGATAACGCGAATATGATTATAATGTTTAAACAAGATGATTTAAATATGCGACATATATATCGTGATCATGTAAATACTGATATGTCCTACGATTCATTTATGAAAATTTGTCAAAAGTGTTGGAGTGATAAATACGGATTCCTTATAATAAGTAAAGATAATGATATGGAAAAAGGAAGATATAGAAAGGGTTTTAATGAATTTATAATTATTTGAGAATATAAGTTTCGTTCTGTAAGCTATATTTTCACAGTTCATTATTAGATTCCAAAATAAGTAGATCATTCACTCTCACATTAAATGGTAATGAATCCATAACAAATGTTACTTATTTCCCACCCATTGAACTGACAAATGGTGAATATGAGTGTGCAAGTTAAATTGTTTGTAGTTCGGTGAATTAAAAAAATGTAAATTTTTTTGCCTTGAAGAAGGCAGTCCTATTTTGACCAAGACCGCGAACGGTTGACAAAAATATTAAAGAGAAATCAAAAGTGTCAACGTAACAATTACAAGACAAGATTGATGTTTACTTTTGATTTTGATTTGTTTATGGGGAACCGAGATCGGACCTGTAGTGTACAGTTTGTAACAGCAGTGGCCAATTGTCGCATGGGGCTTTAAAACCCTCCTCGTCCTTTCCTTCCGCTTTACGCTATTTACGAAGGAAGCCTGGCTGCGAATGGTCTTACTGTCGGCGTTCACCCTGGGATCGACGGTAGTCTTTACCCACGGCATATAGGAGATTCCGGAGCTGTGCACTTCTAGCGTTGCTCGTCGCATCCCCTCTCTGGTTTTCCGACTGGTTGCATTTTTGACATCGGGGCTTGTAAGTGTCTTTTGCCCCGCATCCATAGCAAAAGATACTGCGGACGTCGAGACAGTCGTCGAAGCGATGTCCGGGCTTGTCGCAGTTCCAACACTTCAACTGCTTTCGTTGAATTGCCGCTACCTCACTGAAATCTTCATTTTCGATATCTGGTTCCAATTGCGAAACTATTGGACGCTGCTGAAAGCTGTTTCTCCCTACTTGAGGTCGCGTCTGCCTACAAAACTGCTCATGTGTGCGGATCTCCGCCCTTAATTGTGTTAAGTGATGGCTTGGCGTGTCTGATAAGAAGCTTTACCAGCGACTCTTCTGTAATCGGGGTATTTAATCGGGCAACTAGCTTCTCTAATTGGAATTGGTATTCTTCGAAAGGTTCTTTTTCTGCCTGTCGTCTGCTGTTAATCAACTCCCAAATATCCATATCCGAATCACTGTCTCTGAAATTATTCCTCAATTCCCTGCAAAAGTCTCTCCACTCGAACTGTTGGTAGGAACGATGAAAATTCCAGAACCATTGCCTATAAAGAATAGGTGTATATGATCACACAAAAGCTGTTTATCTCCGCTGAGATTCTGCTTAGCTAATGCTTCAACTCGGTAAAGAAATTCTTCGGCTTGCAAACCCTCCTTTGTACCGTCGAACTTAATGTGCCAACTCTGGATGATGCTTGGTACTTTTGCGGGCTGGAATGCCGAACAGGATCTGCCTAATTGTTGACCGTATTGGTGGCTGTTCTCACTGGACAACACTGCTGGGTGTTCACTGCCGAACTGAGTTTGGTTCTCAGACCTGTGTCTACTAGTATTTGAGGGTTGGTTCCCTATTTGCATGTTTTCAAATTGCAACTGAATAAATTGCGTGAGGTCTTGCTTAAGTATCTGCTGCTGTGCTTGCATGGCGGCTTGGACTATTTTGCTTATTTTTTCAATACTATCTGATCTCGACGTATCTACAGCAGACTCCGTGCCAAGGCTCTGCTCCAGGCGTTCCGTCTCGTTTTGTTGTCGGTTCGACCTGAGCGTCATACCTGTGCGCTGTATAGCTCCTCTTCTTGGTACTACTGGTCTGCCTCTACGTGACCTTGTCCTAGCAGGATCACTGCTTGGATTTGGATCTACCTCTACTACAATTTTGTTACTGCCTGATGGTGCCGTATCGACTACGTATTCTGCAGCTGATAGCTCTGCCAGCAAATTGTTGCGCGACAGAGAAAGTTGTTTAGCCGTGCATTCGGTGTAACACAAAGGACACAGGCTCGTTTGCGTCAAGCATTTTTGTATGCACTGATTATGGAACGTATGACCGCACCGGGTCGTTGCTTTTAGCTCTATTGCTATTATGGGCCTCTTACATATCCCACACTCCGTCATGTCTTCGTCTGCTGCTGCTGCCAAATTTGTGTTACTATGTCTAACTGACATTCTGTTACTATATGACTATATCCTTTCATACGGGTCTGTGCCTTGGACTGCGGTCTAAAGTGTCTCCTACTGGTGATTCCCTGAACCCTACCTAATTTAATAAAATAAAAACATCACTGTTGAATTAGCGGCTTAAGTATGTTTTCTTTGTTCCGGTACTATTCGATCCAAGTATCTCCGAAAGATGTAACTCCACAAACAAATGTCCCATACTCTCACTACTGGACTGTAAGAAATTATCGGGTATGAAGTGTCGGTTCGTTCTGGTCGACCATTCCGTTTACCTCGAAATAAAGTCGCTTACCTCGAAGAAAGTACTCGAATCGCGGTCGCAATTCCAATGCGCGAACTTTCAGAACTTTCTGTCAGGCTCTCAACATGCTCCTGAATT